CTGCCCACCCACCTGTCCCAAATGAGAGCTTGAGTTTCTGATGCAAACTGCATCCTGGTCGCAGTGCTCTGGGACGGGGAGGGGGCGGTGAGAGGACGGGTGCTGTGCAACCAGGCGGGGTGCAGGGCAGCGGGGAGGACGACGGGGAGGGGAGGCAGGAGCCCCCCAGGAGATGGGCTTGCCGAGGGTCAAGGGTCGGGGCTGCCCACCCTCAGGTCCAGCATCTGAACCAGGCAGCTGGATCTGGGCCCCGGAGTGACCTCACGCCCGAGGCACTGCCCGTGCTGCGGGGCTGGCTGCTGACACGAAGTCCTCCGCACACTGGGGGCTCTCCCAGGGGTGCTGATGTCTCCCGGACATCCCCTGTGACCTGGCTCTCCCAGCGGGGCTTCTGCTCTGCGTGCTCCCTCCCCCGGGAGACGCCCCACAGGCCGCTGCCTGCCTGGGTGGTGGCGCAGACGGACAGCAGTTAGGCGGCTGCCCTGGGGGGCACCCGGCCGCAGATGGCCACCCGCCCATCTTCCCTCATTGCAGGGCCGAGGCTGGGAGGGAAATTCCAATAAGAAAAGGAGAACAAAGTGGGCCAGGGGTTGCTGTGGCCCAGACTCCCTCCCAGCAGGCAGGGAGGGGCATGGAGGGGGTTGGGAGAAGAGGGGAAGTGGTGGGTCATCGATGACCCTGAGGGGATTCTGGGGGCTCAGGTGAGCCTGCACTCTCCTCCAGACCCCTCCAGCCTCAGCCTCTCCCCCTGCCCACCCCCTGCTCCCCCCATGGGACCTTCCGCAGCTGCTCCTGTCCTGGTGGCCCTGGGGCGGGCGCTGAGCGGGCCTGAAAACTAGGTAGGTAAGAGCGGCGGCCCCTGGAGGCGCAGTCGTCCAATAAACAGAAGGAGACGAGGCCAGGAGGGCTGCCAGCGGATGGGTGGGGCCGAAGCCTGCTGGGGGTCCCCGGAGGGGGGCACTGGCCCTCGGCGGTGCAGGGCGGGAATGGGCACAGCCAGGGCTCTACCTCAGGGCATCTCTGTCAAGGATCTCCCTCCGCAGGGGAGAATCTGGCCCAGGTTCCCTGAGCAACACCCACCATCTTGGACTGTGTTAATGGAGAGCGAGGCCCCCAGAAGAAGGGAGGGGATGATTCCAGCGGGCCCTCCTTGGTCAGACTGCTGGGTTCCGCCCTGCGCGCCTCAGCAAGGGGTGGCCCAAAGGAATGCTCTGTGAAGGGCCAGGGCGGTGCCGCCGGGGAGTGGTGCCACCTGGGAAGGGCACACACAGCCCAGCTCTCCTCTGTGTCCCTCGGGTGATTGATGGTGTGAGCTCCAGGCAGGGCCGGGCTCATGTGGGGCTCAGACAACCGCCATCTGGGGAAGGGGAGGTGCGGCGCCCACAGCCCAGGAAAAGGCAGAGCGTGTGCAGAGGCGGGTGGGCTCCTGAAAGCACCTAGAAGCTCCCTAAGAGACTCAGCAATGTGGCCCCCCAACTTGGGTGGGGGCCCCCGCCCCCGAAAAGGCTCAGGTCTCCCACAGAGGTCATGGTGGTGGGATCCAGAGGTGTGGGTGCAGCAAAGCCTTCCTCTCCCCCAGCCCCTACCTGTGCCCCAGCCCTGCAGCGTCCCTGGAATTGGGTCGGGCGCCCCTCATCCAGCACCTTGGCCACACCTGAGCAGGCATCACTGTAGCTCCTGCAGGGAGGTGGCTGCCCCGTCTGCTGGCTGAGAACGCTGAAGCATGGCGTGGCAGGGTGCCCCCAAACCTGCTCAGGACCCCACACGAACACCAGGAACTCAGCCTCATCGGGGCGGGGGGGATGCAGCCTCCGTCTCCTCCTTCCTACCCCAGCCCGGCTGACCCGGGCCAGTTCTGAGTGCGGAGAAACCCTGCCTCTTGCCAAGAAGAGGCGCCCTCATTCACGTGCCACCTTCACAGGCTCGCTGGTGGGTCATCTTAAATGCCAGCCAGCCTGGCCCCCGGCTGCTCGGTGCTGGGTCGGGGGCGCACGCTGGCTCGCTCGGGGGAGATGAGGGCCTGATCTCGCAGGACCCCTGTGCTCTTGGGTGCGTGAGGTCCAGGAGATCCAATGCCCGGTTTTCCCACAAGTCGTGCAAAGCATACCCCAGCTGGACTGTGCCCAAGGCTGGTTCTGGGACATCAACAGAGCGTAATCCCCGCACGGTGTCCACCAGCTCGGTCTGGCCTCGGGGCCCTCCCCAACCAGAGAGAGGGGCACCGAGGACCCAGTAAGCCTGGACCCCCAGGGACGGGCAACGTCTCCCCACCCACCATGCTGTACAGCATCGAGCCGGAGACTGGGGGCCTGGCTGGGGCCTCCAGGCTCCCTGATCCCCCAGGCTTGCGGCAGCCCAGGGTTGGCTGTGGGCACCTCGTTTCTGAGACCAAGGAGGTCACAAGAAGGGCACCTGGTTAATTTTATGCATCCACTTGACTGGGCCACATGGGGGCTCAGACATTTGGTCAAACACGATACTGGGCGTGTCTGGGAAGGTGTTTCTGGATGAGGCTGAACATCCGAATCGGTGGATTCGGTAAAGCACGTGGTTCTCCGCAGTGTGGGCGGGCCTTGTCCAATCACTTGAAGGCTTAAATAGCACAGAAGGCTGAGCCTCCCGACTAAGGGCATTTCTCCTGCCTGATGCCTTCGAACTCGGGTGTTGGATTTTTTTTCTGCCTTCAGACCTGAACTGAAGCATCCGCTCGTTTCCTCGGCCTTGAGCCCGCTGGTGTTTGGAGCGGCACTAAACCACCAGTGCCCCTGGGTCTCCAGCTTGCGACCACCCGCAGATCTTCAGACTGCTCAGCCTGCGTGACGGTACGAACCGATTCCTTTTTTTTTTTTTTTTTTTGGGGTGCGGGCGGCTCACTGCTCTGTCGTCTCCCCGTGCGGAGCACAGGCTCCGGACGCGCAGGCTCACGGGCCATGGCTCACGGGCCCAGCCGCTCTGCGGCACGTGGGATCTTCCCGGACCGGGGCACGAACCCGCGTCCCCTGCATCGGCAGGCGGACTCTCAACCAGTGCGCCACCAGGGAAGCCCCGAACCAATTCCTTATCATAAGTCTCTCCCTCTCTCTCTCTCTCTCTCTATATATATACGTGTTTATTACGTATAGATTATACGTCTACAGATACACACACCAGAGAACCCTGACCGACACACCCGGACGTCAGGCTGCCCTCTCCTCCTGCTATGATCACTGACAACACGGCACAGGGGCCCGTGATAGGAGCACAGGTGTAGCCGGCGGGGAGGCAGCACCATGGGGTGGGGAGACTGGCCACGCACCTACTCAGTGCCTCGGTTTCCTCGTCTGTAACAGGCTCATGCAGCACCCGTCGTAGGGTTATTGTGGAGTCGAGGCTCGCAGAGGGTTTAGAACAGCAGCACCAACAAACGTGAAACCGTTTGCAGCACCGAGCCCTGAAGAGACAAGCCTGGCGTCAGGAGTGCAGCGATGGCCGGGGCCGGGGAAGGCTTGGCGTGCGGCCGGACAGAGACAGCGCAGGCCCCTTTCCGGGGAGCCGTCCATGGGGAAACCAAAGCCCTCTGGGGGACTGAGGCTGAGAGGTGGGCTCCCGACAGAGCTGGGAAGACCAGCGTGACTGCGAACACCGCCACGGGGCCACGGAACACAAATGTGAGGGTCAGGCGTGCACGCGTGGGCCCGTGGCCGGCTCCTCAGCTGGTTTGCCTTGATGGCCCCGGGGATCCGGGCGGGCAGACGCCGTGCAGTAATTACACTCCAGTCTTGTCCCAAACCAGCCTCGGCCACACTGCAGGTGGAAAAGACTTTGAACAACGTGTGGGAAAACCGAGCATGTGATCTCAGGGAAGCGGACCCGCCTCCCTGCTCCCCACACTCCATAGGACGTGCAGCCCGGCACGCGGCTGCCAGCCCTTTATTTGGTGTCGACGTTGTAGCCCCCGGAGGGCTGAGACAGAGAAGCATGATCACGGTCTGGGTTCAAATAACTGAACTTACGCCAAGAACCAACTATTTACAACACACACTATGACTCACAGAGAGAAAACAAACTTATGGTCACCAAAGGGGGAAGGGGGGAGGGATAAATTAGGAATTTGGGATTAACAGATACACACCACTCTGTATAAAGCAGATAACCAACAAGGTCCTACTGCACAGCACAGGGAACTCCACTCAATATGTTGCAGTAACCTACAGCACAAAAGAGTCTTAAAAAGAATATATATGTGTGTAGCTGAATCACTTTGCTGTACACCTGAAACTAACACAACACCGCAAATCAACTGTACTTCAATTTAAAAAAAAAGTCTGAAATTTAAAAAAAAACAAACAACAATTACCATAGAAGCCACGCCACCTGGCTTAACATACAATTCTATTGCTTCCTCTTTAATGCCCAACTGGCTTCGGACTCCACAAAACCCCTCCCTGGCCTCGTCTCGGTGGAGGGTGAAACCTCCTTTCCTGACTGTTCCCCCCGAATCTCTCCTCTGAAGGAAACGAGCTCCAGATCCAGGGCCGGGGCACCCTCTCTGCCCCAGATGCAGCCGAGCATGCTTGGGCCGCCCCCTCTGCTCCTCGAGGCTGGAGGGGGAAACAGAGCCTCACTGGGAATGACCTGTCTCTCGGGACCCTTAAGAGCCTTGGTCCCATTCCTGTGCGCCCAGCCCGCTCGCTTAGGGGAAACTGCTTCCCCTTGAGCCTTCAGACGAGCGGGGTCCCCACTCACGGGGAGCCCCGGGGGACTCACTGAGTGGGACTCACCGCCCCTGTCATGACTGCTCCTGGCGAGGACGGGACGTGGCTCTCAGGACCCAAGTACCAGAAGGCGAAGACCCCGGGCTCCCTGCTCACCTGGGAATGGCCGGCACCCGGCTTCCTCCAGGAGCATCTGCACTGGGGGAGGACATGGACCCCCGACCCCCTCCCACCCAGCACTGGGCCAGTGGGGTTTCCAGTAGGGCTGGAGCTCATTCTTACATAGCCCTGGGGTGCAGGGCTCACCGAGGTTTCCAGGAGTTGGGTTCTGGGGGGTTTCGTCACAACTTGAGTGCGTGGAGAGAGCAGGAGGGGGCCCAGCTTCTCTGACGTCCAGGGCGAATCCTTGCATAAACTGAAAACTCCCTCTTGCTGGACGGTCCCAATCCTCACACAGCGGCAGCTCCCCAAGGGGCGCACGCCCCCCTGCATCGCATCCTGCAGGGCACTGAAGGAGTCAGCAGGTGGGCGGCAGGCACCATGCCCCTCCTCCCCTCCTGCCGGCCTCCCACCCTGTCCAGGGGCTGGGAGGATCCTAGGTCTTGGAAGCAAAAATGACCGCAAGTGTTGCCGTGCTCTGTTTTCCCGCCTTTTCTGCATTTTACAGATGCGGTAACTGAGGCCCCAAGGGTGAGCTGACTCACCCCGGGACATGTGGCCGGGTGGCACCGCCCCCTCGACTCCCAGCTCACCCAGGGCAGGCGTGCTTGCCCCCCGACCCCCCCGCTCGGCGTCAACCCCAGGGGAAGGGCTGCCCACATCTGCCGGGACTGTCCTGAGAGCCAGAACAGGAACTCCAGAGAGAGAACGTTTATTGGGCTGCAGGTCCGTACAGCAGGGAAGCCCACTGCCTCCTTGCCATGTCCCCAGCTTTCCCGGCCCCGCCGCCTGCAAGAGCCCAGGACCCCTCTGGGTGGATGGGCCGCCCTTCTCTCCCCCACGTCCCGTGCTCCTCCAGCCACCTCCCCTGCAGCCCGATCCGTGAGCACCTACTGTGCGCTGTTCCGCCGCCCTGGCCCTCCTGCAGCCCAGCCCGCAGGTTTTAACTCGGGGAGGGGCTGTCTGCACTTCCGGCTGGAGCTCACGGGGTCTTCCTGCATGGCTCCTGGCGCCCCTTCAGCGTCCAGCTCAAGGCCTTGTTCAGCACTGACCCGCTGGGCGGGCAGCTGCTGGGGCGGGAATAGAAGCCCTGCCTTCCAGGCCCTTCTGGGATAACCAGTAGAGGCAGCCCCCCACCCAGTGACCCCCAAGTCAGGCTGTGGGCGCCCGGTCACAGCCTCCACCTGCCACTCCCTGGTGGTTTCTGGGGAAACCCGTTCTGTCACCTGTCACGCGCCTGGCGGAGAAAGTGGCCTTGCCAGTCAGGTAGGACCAAACTGGCACAGGGCCGAGGGCCCCACCTTGTCCTGCCACGGTAGGGACAGTCCAGGAAGGTGACCTGACATCTCAGGGATGTGGTCACCAAGCTTGCGGACCCCCGACCCTGCCTCCAGACCCTTTTGCTCACTGGACCCTCAGCCCACTCTCAGGGCCCAAGCAAACCCCACTTGAGGGCGTCCGGCTTCCTGGTGCCAAAGTGTCAGTGTGACATCGGCCTGAACCATGAGACATTGGCGGGGGGGGGGGGGGCATGCCAAGGGCTCACAGAGAGACCAAAAGAGAAACGAGGAAGAAATGAAAACCTCTATCCACAAGCAGCGTGCACACACGTGTCCAAAAAGCAGAAGCAGCCCAGACTTCCATCAGCTGATCAACGGCTAAGCAAACTGTGGTCCATCCATACCACGGAATATTATTCAACATGGAAAGGAATTCACGCTGAATTCATTAAGAGGAGCCGTCTAGAAGGCACTATGCAGAAGTGATGATGGACGCTGTTTCTTTAAAAAAAAAATCAAAATTGCAGGACTTATCACATTTCCATTGATCATAATCACAGTGGCCAGTGGCCCTGCCAGCCTCTGGCCAATCCTGAGCTCTGTGGAGTGGACCCATGGCCCTCTCACCAGGTGTGTAGTCAGCACGCCTGACCCGTTCTCCAGACACTGAAGCGGCGGCCGCCCAGCCCAAGTCCCGCCACCGTGCCTTGTCCGGTGGAGATACTGAGGTTTGGAGAAGGGTCCAGAGACCCCCAACGACCCCCGAGGTCAGGGCTCCCTGAGGCCACTGGGGCTGAGAAATGGCCCTGTGGGAGAGGTGAGAAGGCAGGGCTTGTCCTCCAAGCTCTGAGACCTAAATCTGGGTCTGTCCCCTGACACGCTGGTCACGCCATGAAATGACAAGTTCTAAAGCGTGACGCTGCATCGGGCGCCTCGTGAGCAGAAGGTGACAGCTATTAATGAGATCGAGAGTGACGGGGACACAGCAACCGCTCGGAGGCCGGCTCGGGTCAACCGTGTCCCTCTGGGTCAGGATGAGCTTTACAGATACCTGCCCAGACAGCCTGCTGCCCCTTCGTCTATGCCTGCCTTCGGGGATGCCCCAGGGAACCCAGCCTGCCCATCGGCGCTCCCTCCGGGCCCCATCATTCGCCCTAAAACACCTTCCCTTGGTTTCGAGAGACAGCCCCATCCCAGCCCCCGGGGCGGCGCCCTCTCTGGCCCCATGAGAGGTCAGGCTCCTGACCTGATGTGTGGGAGGCACCCACGTGCTGAGACCACAGGGCCACCCCCTCCAGGCTGTCCTTTCTGACTGGGGAGGAGGTTTGACATCCCCCCTCTGCCCCCCAGCCAGTGAAGGCCAGTCCAAGGAGACAGAGGGACTGGTGGCTTTACCCATCAGGGCCTGACCCAGAAGGGCCTTCTCCTTCTGGAGGTTAGAGGTGACAGCAGCCAGTGTCCCCTGTCACCTGCTGACTGTAGAGGTGGCCGGTGACAGTGGCAGCTTCACTGCGTCCTGAGGCTTTTTGGAGAGAATTAACAGGTTTCCACAGAGAGGGGCTGTATCGGTGTCCTGGGGCGGCCGGAACAGAGGACCACATGCTGGGCAGTTCATAAACAACAGAAACGGATTCTCTCCCAGTTCTGGAGGTCAGAGTCTGAAATCAAGGTGTCGGCAGGGCCACACCCTCAGAGGCTCCCTCCTGCCTCTTCCAGCTTCTGGGGGCCCCAAGAACTCTGTGACTTACAGAAACATCCCTCAGTCTCTGCCTCTGTCTTCCCGTGGCCTCCCCTGCATGTCCATGTCTCAAACCTCCCTCTCGTTCCCTTTCTCCTAAATCACGGGATTTAAGGTCCACGAGATAATCCAGGATGACCTCGGTCAAGACCTTTCCCTTAACTACTCCTGCAAATTCCTAAATCCAAGTAAGGATGCATTCACGGCTTTTGGGGTTAGGACTTGGACGTACCTTTTGGGGGTCACCATTCAACTCACTGCAGGGAGTTTCAGGGGCGCCCAGCCCAGCAGAGACCTGGGGTGGGGATGAGGTGTAACAGCACCTTGCCACCCACGGGAAGGTACGCAGTGCCCCCCTTGGCCTGCAGGAGTCCCAGTGGCTCTCGTCCCCTTGTCCCCTCTGCTTGCGCCTGCCCCTCCCGCTCGCCTGGGTCAGGCCGACACCCATCAGCTCCTCCCTCTGCCCCATCACCCTCGGCAGAGCTGCCCGCTGCCCTGTCGCCCCCTCGACTAACCTCCCAGGGCTCCGTCCCCGGACGAAGCCTCAGACCCTCCCGCCCCTGCCCCTCCACCATGGAGCCCCCAGGGAGCTCCTGGGAGGTGGCAGCTCTCCTGCCACGCACAAGGCCCCGGTACCAGGTCCCAAATGCCAGGCAGCTTCACGCATCCCTGCCTTTGGTCTCCCGGGTCCCTGGGCCAGCGGTGCCTCCCCGCTGCCCGACACCCCGCTCCAGAGCTGGGACCGGCCCCAGCACTCAGCTTGGTGTCACCCCCATCGGCCCTGAACCTTCCAGCAAGCTGCTCCTGCCCCCCAGCTGCTGCTTCCTTTTTTTTTTTTTTTTTTTTAAGTATTTATTTATTTGGCTGCGCCGGGTCTTAGTTGCGGCATGTGGGATCTAGTTCCCTGACCAGGGATCGAACCCGGGCCCCCTGCACTGGGAGCGCGGAAACCCAACCACTGGACCACCAGGGTTCTCGAGGGTTGCGAAGATCTGTTCTGGCTCCGGCCCAGCACCGGCTGGGGACCCCGAGGCTGGGAAGGGCTGTGTCCCCTGGAGCCCGAGCATCCCAGGGGTGTGTTCTCGGGGGCCGACTTCTCAAGGTGCTATCACAGACTCGAGCCCCCCACTCCGACCCAGCAAGAATCGAGTATCATTTTACAGGCGAGGCCTGGGCAGGGAGGGGGCCCGAGGCTGACGGGGTCTGAATGGAACCCAGGCCTGTGGCCCTTCTGGGACGAGCGGTGGTCCATCACATGCTTTCTCTGTGTCATCACTGGAGGAAAGTCACACTGCCCAGCGGTGCTCCCTGATGATTCGGGTGGGCTGAGGGGGCTGTCTGGGGAGTCCCCGTTAGAGAACAGTGGAGGGGGCTGCCCGCTGCCCCCCGGGTCACGCCAGCCCCAGCAGCGTCGGCCCCAGAGCCCAGGGCAACCGATGATCACTTCTAACTGACGCTTACATCGGGGAAACCCGGACGGACATCTGGAGCTGGTGGAGGCCCGGGAGGTGAGCAGTGTGCTCTGTGGGAGGGTGGAAAGGGGTCTCTAAAGATCTGAGGGCCCTTGCAAGGGAGGGGGAGAGAAGATATAAGCGGAGACCCCAGCCTGAGAGGGGGCTGGGCTGCAGCAACATGGTGGCCGGGGCCCCCGATGGGCATGGCTGCTGGACCCGGGGACAGGGCGTCTGGCTGGTTCCCACCGTCCGGCTGGCTTGGGCCCTGGGTTTCCGCTGCACTTTGGGTTACGTGTCTTCGGCAGAACCGCTGAGCCGCCGGCACGTGGTGCTGGGGAGCAGGTAGGTTTCTCCTCGGGAAGGGGGCTGATCTTGGGGTCCCTCCAAGGCCCGGGAGAGGATGGCGTTGGCCTTTGCAGGGCCTGGCACAGAGAAGCACGGACCGCGAGAGTATCAGGGGCGTGGAGCCCATAAACCGAGGGGGCCTGGCGCCTCTATTGCTCATGTGTCCCCCACGCCCCTGGTTTGCAGGGGGAGCTGAGAGTTTAGACGTGGCTCGGCTGAGGACAGAGGGGTCTTGTTGCCCCAGTGCCCCCCAAAGCCCAGTGATGAGTAAGGACCGTGCTCCTCAGAGAGGGGACGGGCACGCACAGCGGACCGGGGCTGGGGGAGGCTAGGTGGTGGGGCGGGTCCAGGCCCCAGCTCTGCCCCCGGGGATCCTGCCCAGGCTTCAGTTTTCAGGGAGAAGAACTCCACGGGCTCAGCCCTCCCCCCAGCTCCAAAGTGAGAATAATGAGTCGCGGTCACAGGAAAGGTGGCTTCTGCGCAGACCGGGCGTGTGTGACCAGGTGTACGACTCGCTGGGTCCCCAGGGCATGGGGGCGGGTGTCGTCCTGCAGCCGAGCCTCGGGCAGCCTGCCCTCGGTGTAGCTTCAGCGAGCCCCTCCTTCTCCAGTGGCAGAGGTCTGGCCAGCCTGGTCAGGCCTGCTCCAGGGGCTGGGCTGGACAGCGGTCTGGAGGGGTCCAGGTGATCCTGGCAGAGGTCCCAGGAGGAGGTGGCGCTCGGCTGCAGCCCTCGGGGTCGGATGTGTTTTACACTCTGTGTCCCCAAGGGCTGAGCACAGGACCTGCCTCTGCTGGTCAGCCTGACCTGACCTCGAGCGCTCAGGCAGGGCCAGTCACAGACCGAGGCCGGCCCAGGGCGACAGACTATGGCCTGCTGCTCGGCGGGAAGCCCCCTGCTTTCAGGCTGCTCCTTTGTGCCCTATGGGTCAGCCCAGCGGACACCCCATGAGCACACAGCCCTGAGGAGGGACGGAGGGAGGGGAAGGCGCACAGCCTCTTTGGAGGGTCGTTTGTGAGCGTGAATCAAAGTGTCAAGCACGAGCGTCCCTTGAGCCAATGATCCGACTTCCAGAAATTTACTATGGGGCGTGAAATCCATGTAGACAATATCTGTGCCAAGAGACACGTGTGGGAGGATTTGCTCTGCAGGGCTATTTTCAGGAGTGAAAGTACCCACCGACAGGTAGGTGGCGAGTAAACGAAGGGACGTGGGTGCAGCGGATGCCAAACGTGGCCACGGAGACCACGCTGCGGACTCGAAAGGGATGTGCCAAGGAGTGGGCTGTCCTCAGAGGCTCCAGGGCGCGGTGACGGAAGCCATCAACCCGTGAGTGTGTAAATCAGTCCATACGACTTTCTCCGTCTCGTCTGCTCTCCACGAAGAGCGCGCGCCCGTTTTACTGCGGAGCACGCCCCCGGCAGAGCTGTCAGCAGCCCGAAAGCAAACCAGAAGAAGCAAGAGATGCTGGGCCTCCAGGGGGCGGGAGGAGCTCTTGCCCCGGACTCGGGGAACTCGGGGGAACGTGGTCTTGCAATGGCAGGTGGCCCGAGGGCCTTGGAGGAGCGTGGGGAAGCCTGGGGTCCCTCTCGCCCAGCTGGACCCCCTCTCTGGGAGCCAACAACCCCATACTCCCCCCACTTGCACGGCCCCTCCACCTCCAGGCCGGAGTGGACCGGAGCCTGCTCTCCAGATGCCCACGGCCGCCCCAGCCTCACCGAGAGGCCCTCAGCTCCTAGCACCTGGCAGGGCCGGTGTCTGGCCCAGGGCCACTCCCCTGGGCTGTTCCCCCAATCCTAGCTCTTCGTCTCCTGTTCTTCACATGAGCCCCCCCCCCCAACCCCGCACCAGGTCTCAGAACCTCTGCTGCGGCATCTCCTCCATTCCTGGGAGCAGTACCCCAGGTGGGGCACCCGGCTTGTCCCTGCAGCCCCAGTGCCCGGGGAGCATTCGGCAAGTAGCATGTACTAATGGTGATGCTCCTGGGGGGGGATGGAGGTGGGGGTGATCTGACCGAGTGGGATGTGTATCCATTAGGCGCTCAGGAACCAGACTCGGCTGACTAAGGAAGTAACCTCTCCACCTTCAGAGCTGCTCCAAGGGGCCATGAACAGACGGGGGGCAGGGGGCACGCGGGAGAGCACAGCAGAGGCAGAGGCTGGGGACGCACGGCCCAGGGGCCCATCCCGGGACTCCGCCAGGCAGGGAGGAAACAGCGCCTGGAGTCTCTCCTGAGGGTCTTCGGGGAGGGTGGGCTTGACCCCTCCAGGAGCTCCTCGAGGTCATGGGGGCTGTCCGGGGTGTGACCTTCCAGAACCTTCCCCACTGCCTTCTGCTCCCCAGCACTGTGTGTGGATGGCCACGGGGCCCTGCCCTGGAAACCCCGCACAGACAGACCTGGAGGGGAACCTGGGGACACCTCCACCCTGAACACGTGCTCTACGGTGGTTATGAAGGCCGGCGACAAAAGAAGGAGAAAGCGGGGGTGAAGGTCAGGAGGTGAGCACGAAGCTCTATTTTAAACCCGAGTCCAGGGAGATGAGGTGCAGCTGCGCCCGTCCGGGGTCGGCTCTGGGGACCGCGGGGCATCGAGGGAGCCTCTGTTACACTGTCCTCTCCGCCTTCGTATTTCACATTTTCCGTGATACAGAGTCAAAAAGGAGAGGCTCAAAGCTCTCTCTTGAAAGCTTAAAGGGAGAATTTAATAAAAGCCTTGAAAGGAGAGAAGAAATTCACATAACATTAGAGTCCTGTCCTCACCCCATCCCCCAAACAAGGCTCAGAGTTTAAAAGACTAAAAACAAGCCAGGTGCCTCTGAGGACATTGAAAAGGTGACAGCCAGCCGATCAGAGGCTGCACCCCGGGGAAAAGCCAGTGCTCCCTCCCCGAAATGGGGAAGGTGATCCAGATTCAGAGTCAGCCAGGTAACGAGTGGGAAGAACAGCTGGGGGTCCCCGGTGCCCGCCGCTCGGTGGGCTGCAGCGTCCCAAGAGCATGGACCCCCAGCGGCTGGGCCCCCGCCTCGCCCACTGCAGAGCGGTCTGGGGCCCTCCGGCCCTGCCCTAGGCCTTTCACAGACTCCGGCCTGATTATGTGGGTCTCCCGGCTGTCCAGGGCGTATCTCCTGATTCATAACAGCCCCCCAAGATCAGCAACACCCCACCAGAGGCCCCGAGCCGGAAACCTGGCAGAGGCTGGGAGCGGGGGCCCGGGTGCTGCCCTCAGCTCCCACCGGCCTGGGTTGGGGGCGGTCACCCCTCGGAGGCCATCTCTCCAGCAGGCTGCCCTGCTGGGCGGCCTAGACAGCGCTGCAACACGTGCTGGGGCAGGGGACTCTGGCAGCAAGCCCCTCGTCACTTCCCTCCCCACTACCACCACCGCCGGGACCCCGCTCCTCGGCCCTGCCCGCGGGGCTGCCGTGTGGCCGGTCAGCAGGCTCGGAGCCCGCGCAGCCCGTACGGACGGTTCACGGCCAAACAGCACGCTTGTGCCCACTTTGGTCGGGCGCACACCGCAGCCTCTCCCAGGCTCCTGGGTTTACGTCCTCTGGGACCTCCTAGGAGGCAACCCCACCACCAAGAGGTGAGGCCAGGCGCTGACCAGAGCCGACGGCCAGCGGGTCGGGTGGCTCGAGCCCTCGGCCCCCGCGCCGGCGCACGCCCGTGTGCCCCCAAGGTGAGGGCAGCCCCCAACCCTGCTCCCTTTCTTCCTCTTTGATCATCAAAACGACCCGGCTCTCGCCGACGTGTCAACGGGCAGTCCCTGCCCTGGCCGGGCGCCCGGCAGCTTGGGGTACGGCCAGCCTGGTCACTGGGCCCTGCCGAGGGTGTCCTAAGTGCCGGGTGCTGGTACACAGCTGTGCGAGGCCCTTGTCTCCCTTTTCCACCCTGAGCGCTCACCCCCGCGCCCCTACACGATGACGCAGGCCTCTGAACCCGATCGGCTGCCGATTCCCCCGCTCGTGTCACCGCAGCCTCCTGAGTGGTCCCTGCGGCCCGGGGAGCCAGCGCCCCAGGT